GTGTGCTGCATTAAGCTAACTGAGACTTGTTATAGCACTTGCATATCATTGCTCTTTTGTTGATTTTGATTGCTTCCATTGTCCTCATTTGTAAGTCACTTTGGATAAAATCGTCTGCTAAATGTAAATGTAATGTAATTGTAATTGACTCAAAATACTATATTATAATACAATATTATCAAATACTACTTTCATAATTTATTGTGATTTGGACTGTTCAAAATATTACTACTTTAATCTTGTAATTTTACCATTTCATTTTCTATTGGCCTAATAATCTCATATATTAAAGGGATAGTTCACCCAAAAATGAAAATTCTGTCATTAATTACTCCCTCTCATGTCGTTCCAAACCTTAAAGACCTTCGTTCATCTTCAGAACACAAATTAAGATATTTTGATGAATTCCGAGAGCTCTCTGACCCTCCCATAGACAGCAAGGATCCTAACACGATCAAGGCTCAGAAACATACGAGGATGCGTTGTTTATGGGAGGGTCAGAGAGCTCTCAGAATTCATCAAAATGTCTTAATTGGTCTTCCGAAGATGAACGAAGGTCTTAAAGTTTTGGAACAACATGAGGGTGAGTAATTAATGACAGAATTTTCATTGTTTGGTGAACTATCCCTTTAATATATGAGATTATTATCATAATATTATGACTTTATTCTAATAGTACTATGACTTTTTCTATCTTAAATTGTTTTTGCATTGTAAACATTGAGACAGCAATGATACAGAATCTTACATGTTTTTTTGCATTTTTTTCTGCACAGATTTTTGAATGAATTTAAACATGGTAAAATGTGTAAAATTGAGCTGAGAGTAATGCAATCTTATAGGTAGCTGAAAGCAAAATCATTTCACAAACAAAAATGAAAGGAACGTAGGATGCATAACAGTTTGTGAATGATGGCAGTTCCAATTCTGCGGAAATCTATGGATCTTTCTGCCAAGTTTTGCACGCACAGATTCCATGTGCCTGGGTATTTCATGCGCACACAAGAACACAGGTGTGACATACTCTAATGGATCTCTGTGCAGCTGCAGTGTCAGGGGAGGGAGTGGCAGACAGAAAGCACACGCTCCTATAGCTCTCCATTAATCAGTCTGATGAGAATGGATTATATTGAGCCGGTGTGAAATGGTTCTCATTCATTCTCAACCACACACAACGGAGTGTTGGCTGAGCCTCTGTCAATCACACACACACACACACACACACACACAATCTCTTTCATATGCACTCACAAACTTTATCATCAGCTCAGACATCAACACAGAATCCAGTTGCATGTCGTCTTACACACTGAAAAGAGCAGCTTTATCGACTAGTCTCTGATAAAGGGGTTTATATTGGTGAATGATGTGTGCGAGAAAGACTTATTAGAGACACTGGCATATATCAGGTGTGAAATTGTATTGGACAAACAGAAAATGGCTGACGGCTCAGTGAATTTAGGCACAAACCGTGCTTGCCCGTAGTAGTATGTTATCAGCAACTGTACACTGAAAGAAAGCGATAAGCACTGAAATGGCCAAAGATGTCAATCTGCATGGAAATAAAACACATTGACTTCTAAAGACACTTTTTGTCATCTCTATTAAGTGCTTCTCCCCTTTGCCACAATAATGTTGCAGTGTATGTCTAAGTTAGTGGTTAATTCAGTTAATAATTGGCATCTTATGTAATTGATTTGTTTCATAGCCATAGGCGGAAATCCCGGTGGGGACAGGACCCCCTCTATCTGAGGGTTGTCCCCCCTAAAAATATGATTAAAAACTATGCTGTGCATTGTAAATAACAATGTTTTATACTTTAAAGGGGTCCTATGCTTTTTCACTTTTTCAACTTTAGTTAGTCTGTAATGTTGCTGTTTGAGCATAAAAAAGATCTGCAAAGCTACAAAGCTCAAATTTCCTGACCAGGCACAGAGTAGTGCCAATCACAACACACACTGGCCCAGCTAACCAATCACAGCACATTTCGTATTTCAGAAGGCGGGCCTTCATTTGATACAGGAACTATTCGAGCCGTTCATGCCAGACTGGGGAGAGAGGTGTTGTAATAATGTAAAATATGTGAAAAATAATGTGTTTTTCGAACAACCTAGTATGAGAGTCTGTTCTAGTACACCCCCAAAACAAAATCAAGACTTTGTAAAAGAGCATAATAGGACCCCTTTAATTAATTGTGTACGTAGTAAAACAACACAAACGGGCAAAAATGTGTTTTAAGTTTAGAAACATTTTGAGTCTCCCCTCCCTTGCCTCACGGTGCTTTGGTCCAAATGCCTGCTTTCCTCTTTTACATCACCCACACACACACAAGTCCGGTGAGAGAGAACAAAGTCAATAGTTGTGGAACTCCAGTAAGTAAGGCTGTCAAGGCTATTTTATTCACTTAAAGGGGTCATATGATGCGATTTCAGTTTTTCCTTTCTCTTTGGAGTGTTACAAGCTCTTGGTGCATAAAGAAGATCTGTAAAGTTGCAAAG